TGACAATTTGAGAGTCCTGAGCTGTAGTGAGCCCAATATCGAACGGAACGGGGGACCTCGTTTCTCCCTGGGGCGTTCAGGGGACGTCTACACAAGCAAGTAAAGTTAAAAGATCCTAATTAACGGCCTCAATGTTGCACAATTTGGCCTTAATCACATCCCCCAACCTATAACTTGTTAGTCCTCAAGCAAGCAATAAAAATAAAATAAAATTAAACAAAATCTAGTTATTTCCTCTTTCGTGGAAAAACGGTTGTATTTAGCATATGCAACATGCCTTTAAATCCCAAAGTTACCCCAAGTGATTGAGTAAAGTCTTGTGAGGGTTTTCAGAATGATGCCCACAAATATTAACATATTCACATCTATCCAACAACAATCAATCACACTACACTACTCAATAATTAACTTATGAGTCAATTTATGTGTCAATACAGTGTAATATTAAGACATGATGAATCATTGACGGCACTGGAGACAAGCATGAAGAAATCTATTGAGCAAAGACCACAATTTAGTTAATACAAAAGTAAAGTCCCATGTATTTGTGAATGCTAGTAAATACATCATCAGTATCTTTGGTGTAAAGTGCAATCCCCATACTAGTTAACTGTCCACTATAATAGCCTAGTGTAACTCATAGTAAGACCTAGCATATATAGAAAAACTAAACTATTGCAACCAAGATTCTCAATTTTTTTTTATTTTTTATTTTTTTTTGAAAGACTGTGCAATGTCTTGATCCATTAAGCTTTCTAATCAATCCATGTAACAAACATTAGGCTAATGACTCCCAAACTAGACAGTTTTAGGGCATTAGGTGTAAAGACACCCCTACGGACTTGGTATTGTTTTAATTGCAGGTGTGCGGAGGAGGTGCGGCAACCAAGCCGCACGTGCGGAACGTCATCCAAAAAAAAAAAAAAAAAAAAATCCCGCACATGCAGCCAAGTGTTCAGTCCCTAAATTTGAGCCTGCTTTAATAGTAGGTGCGGGTGTGTGGTGCGGCAATAGTGGCGCACGTGTGGCTTTATCCCCGTACTTGCGGAATGTTGTTTCCAATAATAATAATAATAAATCAGATTAAAGCGTTTCGTGAATTCCCCACACCTAGAATCAGCGATCAGTGATTTTTGCTCACTGATGGTTACCCCTAATTCCTTAAGGAGCCGTCTGTACGTAGTGGCTACGTCCTTGTTAGCGATGATAACATCGTCACCAAGAACAGTGTAATCTGTAAAGTGTAGACTAGGACGAACCCTTTCAGCACAATACCACACCACCAAGTGATGTGATAGTGCGAATAAGGGCCAAGACGAATAGTATCCAAGCAGTTGTCCACAAATGAATAACAAACCCCACCTTGTGATTTAAGGCTGAATTGTGCAACATTGAGGTCATTAATTAAGACCTTTTAACTTTACTTGCTTTCAAACTATATATTTTATGTCTGTTTAATGTCAATCAGGTTGTACATAATCGGAGCATAAAATGGGTAAAAATACAAAATTTGGAGAGAAAAGATCTTCCTGCACGTGCGTTGACTTTTTCCACACATGTGTTGACTTTCTTGCACGTGCAGTCGTACCTCAAAAAACGGCCTTGAAAAGATAGCAGAGATATAAAACGGCAAGAAAGGAGCTGAATTAGGGTTCTGAAATTTGACTCTAAGGAAAGGGAGGCAAGGGTTTTAGAGAAGGTGATTTTCCCTCAAGCTTCAGGGACAACTTCCATGGGAGCTTCCATCTCTTCTACCTTTTCCCACTCCTCCATGAGTGGCTAGTCTTATTTTTTAGGGTTTTGATGAAACCCTAGCCATGTAATAGGATTTTTCATAAGCTTTGATTGTGAATCTATTTAAATCAATGTATGGATGATTTAGAAGTTTTTAATAATTATTTCTTTCATCTCTTCAAGTATTTTACTCTTTGTGATTATTTAATGCTTTCCATACATTAATTTTCTTTGTGTTTATATTTAAAGCACGACACGAGTCATGCTACGAGAGACGGGTCGTATTGTTACCATAATTTAGAGCAAACACCTCAGGCTACTCAAGATGATTCGTGCCTGTACGTTGAATGCGACAACCCTATTGATCGATATTTCAAACTTGTAGTTGTGAAATATTGGGTATTTCAAACCGGATTGCAATTGATAGCTGATGTTAATTCTCATTTATGTGGTTAATGGTGAATTCTTTGCCCTAGAATTTTTTCCAAAAATTAATATCTCAAACCCTAATTTTAATTGTCAATTTAATTTCTCAATTTCATTTAATTCCCGTTTAGTCATAAAATCTCTCAATCTTTTTAATCAAAATTAATTTAGGAATTTAGCGATTGAATTAGTCTAATTTCACATTTGTCCCTGTGGATCGATACCTGGACTTGTCATTATTCTAAAATAATTTGGTATAATTTAGTGTTTATTTTTGGTATATGTAACGACCCATCAAATTTTGGCGCCGTTGCCGGGGATCGCCGTATGAAAAGAATGGTGATGCCGGTGGTGAGGAAGAAGGAGGACGAAAGTTGGTGATGGTGGAAAGAAGAATGAAGGATGTTAGTGGTAGTGGGGCTTGTGTGAAAGAGAAAGGTTGGAAGAAGATGATAAGGGAGAGAGAGAGAGAGAGAGAGAGAGAGAGAGAGAGAGAGAGAGAATATGAGATGTAGAGAGAGGGAATGAATCTGTGAGAGTGAGAGTTATAAGTGGATCTAGGTTAGAAAATCAAATTTATTTATTTATTTTTTTTTTCAAAAATGAAAATAAACTAAATAAATAAATAAATAAATTAGATAAGAAATCTTATTTATTATTATTATTGGGAACTACGTTCCGCACGTGCGAGGATAAAGCTGCACATGAGCCACTGTTACCGCACCACATACACGCACCAGCAATTAAAGCAGGCTCAAATTTGGGGACTGAATACTTGGCCACACGTGCGGGGGATCAAGCCGCATGTGTGGCTTGGCTGTCGTACCTCCTCCGCGCACCTGCAATTAAAACAGTACCCAATTGTGGATTGAAAATTTTGCCGCAGGTGCAGTGGGTTGTGTCGCACGTGCTGGATTTTTTTTTTTGTTTTGAAAAACACCCTCAGCCCAACTTGTACCTTTATTTCACAATCAGAATAAGAATAACCTATGGAAAGAAATAAAAGTTCAATAAAGGTATAATCTTCACGCGAAAATCACGGGTACTACTTTTCTCCCAAACAGTGTGTGTAACTTTCCCTATTCTCCAATAGGGTGATAGACTAGGTTGATTCGGTATCTAGAATCGAGGCGCATAAAGCTAACTCGACCTATGGGGCTTCCATACAGAGTTCAAGCCGGGGTGGTTTTGGAGCGATCTTCACATCCCTGGGTATTTAAACCAGACTCTAGTCTTAGAAATTCCAAACCTTTGAATTCTAGGCTTTGCCATTCGAACTCTAGTTTCCACCGTCTAAGTTGGTTTCCTAGGAACTCACTACAAACATAGTTAGGTGGCTATACCAGACTATCAGATGCCGTTCGGGCACGACTAACACCAAAGGAATTACACTTTTAGAGGATTTAAAGTTTCCTAGACGCAAATAAAACATAGAAAGAATAAAGCAAAATATAATATAATAGAAATGAAAGAAAAGAGAACAAGATATCAATCTCTCAATCATAGTAAAAAGGGTTCATCAAAACAATGGACTCGATCAAATCCCTATTCCCAATCCCCTCTATATATGGCTTCAGTCTTTGGCCATTCACTTTGAAAGTGTGGCCATTCTTTGGATCTTGCATCTTAACGGTGCCATAAATAAATGCCTCTACAACCACAAAGGGACCATCCCATCTTGATCTAAGCTTACCCGGAAAGAGTCTCAATTTTGAGTTAAAAAGCCACACTTTTTTGCCGGGTTCAAAGGATTTTCTATTAATGTGTTTGTCATGGAATTTCTTAGTCCAAGCTTTAAAAATTCTTGAACTCTCATATACATCATTCCGAATTCCTCCAACTCATTGAGTTGCAATTTCCGATTGAGCCCAGCCACGGCCATATCGAAGTTAAACTTCTTTATGGCCCACAGCACTCGGTGCTCAAGTTCAACCGAGAGATGGCAAGCTTTGCCAAACACCGCCCTATATGATGACATCCCAATAGGTGTCTTGTAAGCAGTGTAGTAGGCCTATAATGCATCAATCAAATGTTTGGACCAATCTTTCCTACCTGGCCTCATCGTTTTCTTTATTATATGTTTCATCTCTGTGATGACCCCACCACGTATAATGATTAGCACTTAATTAATTAAGGAGATTTGAATTTTTAATTGTTAATTATTCTAATTTAATCTGGGATTTATAAAAATTATGAAGATTGATTCGTATATGACTCTATTGAGGATTTATTTTGGAATTAGAAATTGAAAGCCTAAATGGCTTAAGAGAGTATAAATGGTGAATTGAATTATTTTAATTTCGAGTATCGAACCATATGAGAGTTTAATTAAATATTCGATTCAGATTTATAAAATTGAGATTTGATTAATTGGGTCCAAATTGGAGTTAATTAAGTTATGAGGATTAAGAATTAAGATTATTATGAATTAAATTTATTTATGAGGTGTTCGATTGAATATGTAAATTATTGACGAAGATTTTGAAGTTTAATCAGAAATTGAAGGCCTTAATGATTTAAGAAACCAAAATTGAGGATGGAAATAAGTTTAATTTAATATTTAGAGTCGTTTGGGAGTTTGATTTAAAATCTGATTCAGAATGATAAATTTAAACATAATTAAGTGGGCTCTAATGGAAGTCAAATTAGATAAATTAAACTATGTAAGATTTATGATTAGCTATGACTAAGTTAAGTATGTGCGAATTAAGATTTATTAAGACCATAAATTGAATTATGAAACAATCTAAAATTGAGGGTGTATTTGGGTGTGGGTGTGCAAAGAAACTTCTGTGGGTGTGTGCATGTGTTGTCCTGGAAGTGCTACAAGAGTGTATGTGTGCACGTGTAATGTGGTCAAAAACAGGGGATGTGAGTAATATGTGTAATGTGATGAATTGAAAAGTGGAGTACACCATTGAGTCCAAGAAGTCAAAAAGAAAAAGGGAAGAAAATCGATCGATCGATCGATCGATCGATCGAGAGAGAGAGAGAGAGAGAGAGATCACTCACCCTGGAAAAGAGTTTGCTGGAGAGTGTGAAGCAAGATGAGCAACTAAGAAAGCAAAGGAGAAAAAAAGAAAAGAAAGGAGACTCAAGAATTTGTGAAGAGCTTCAATCATTCAACAACTCTAGGTAAGATTTCTAACTCCAAGCTTGTAGTAAATCCTCCCCTACATCTCAAATCAAGAACAAATATAATTCAATTGTATGTAAATTTAAATATAATGAAATGAAAACTTAAGTCCAAGAATTAAGAAATTAATTTAGGAAATTTATTAATTGAGTTTAATTTGTGTTATTTCTCATGAATTTGGACTTTATCTTTACATGTATTAATGAATCTTTAAGAATTTGGTCCTTCATGGTTATGTTTTGAAGAACAAAGAAAAGAGAGTTTGAATTTAGGTTTGATACAAAGAAAATTGATTAAATCTAAATTAGGATAAGTTAGAGAGCAAAATTATGATTTGATTTTGATTTTAGTTTTGTACATGCAACTGTTTTTCTGCAAGTTTTATGGTTTTAATTTGATATTTTGAAAGGAATACGCAAGAAGGATAAAGAAATTGAGTTAGGTTCAAAATTAAAGAAGTTAATTTGGAAATTAATTATTTTGGGTTTGATTTTGAAAGTTCAAATTGAATTAAGCTTCATAAATTACTTGCATTATGAATTTTTAGGAATTGAGCCATGCAATTTCATTATATTCGATTTTGAAGAAGAAGATTCTTAGAAACCATGAGTTCATGAAGATATGAATTTTGATTTTAAAATTTAACCAAGGTTTTGGTCCAAATAAAATAATTATTAATTATGTTTCATGATTTTGAGTTTGGATTTTAAAGTATTGATGTATGAAAGTTCTTGTATTGAATTGTATTTTAGAAAAATTCATTAGTTTCAAGTTTAATTGCATACTTATGTTTCAAAGGAAAAGAAGTTGAAAATATTTGCATGCATGAAGTTTTGATTTAGATTTGGAAAATTTAATGAGAATTTGAGCAAATGATTTATAAATAAACAAGTGTTTATGTTTTCGAAAGTGTTTTCAAAGTTTTGATACAGATTAGTATGGGTTTAAATATTGAAAATGCACTGGGAAGCTATTTTTGAGAAATTTAGAATTCTGGAATTTTACAGACCGCTCGAGCGGACTAATTGCCGCTCGAGCGCACATTAAAGGCTTCCAGTACTTTGCAGTCTTTTACAGATTGCTCAAGCGACTAAAGGCTCGCTCGAGCGAACAACTATTTTAAGTGCATTTTGGAAAATTGCATTTAGTTCATATTTTTATTCTCATCTCTTCCCAAAGCATTCTAGACATGATTTATGACTCAGTAAAGATTAATAAAGTATCAATCAGCATAAGTTAGTTAGTTAAAGAATGAATCATTAACTTAGAAGTAATTAATCAAGAAGCCAAGTAAGAAATTGATTTATTTAGAAAAGAATGATTTAGTCATGAAAGAATATGTGAAATAAGAACCTGGTTCATTTGAATAAGAAGGAATAAGCGTAGTAGAACTTCGGACTACTAAAATAGAAAAGATGAGAAAGTGAAGTTTGATCAAAGAAGTGATATTGTGTTTCAATGTGTATATGTTATGTGTTTGTGTAGGTTACGTGCTATTATTTGCCTGATCTGATCTGCTAGCAGAGCCATCTGTGAGTAATAATTCTGTAAAGTTATGTTTAACTTTAATTATTTTCTGATGTTATGAAATAATCAGTGTTCTGAAATACGATGTTTTGGATGAATGAATGATTGTCCAAATTTCTGAAATATATTCGTGGCATTCTTAGCACAAGGCCCTTGCCCGGGGGTAATAATAGCGTGGTCAACAAGTACAAGGCCCTTGCCCGAGAGTAACAATACCGTGGTCTCATGGCCCTTGCCCGGGGGTAACAATACTGTGACTCAAGTATATTACAAGTTCCCGGTATTGGAGGTTCCTTTATCGAACTAACAAGCAAGATAATGCTAATGGATGTACCATGTATGATTAAGCATGAACTCTGATTCTGTATATGATTTGAATAAGAATATGAATATGAACCTGCTTTTGATTTAAAATTTGAATATGCATAAGATTATGTTTCTGATAAGAATCTATTTCTGATATAAATTATGATTTCTAACTCTGTGATGAACATCATTCATTAAAACCATTTACTTTGTTATTATTCATTGGGCTCCAGCTCATTGTATTATTTATGTATGTAGGTGATCAGGTGCGTGACTAGGCCTAGAGCTTCTGCCTGTACTTTGTTTTGTCAACCAACCTATATGCCTCCCGTGGAGGTTTCAGATATGTCAAGTGATTATGGCTATGTACATAAAGTTTGAGTTTCGTTTATTCTGTATTTAGGGCCAACTCCCTTTCTGTCTAGTCTGTATATATATGATGATGTGTGAATGTATGTATATAAAGTTTTAAATTTTTTTTTTGTCTCATATAAGTCTGCACAGCTCAATGGATGTTGTATAATTGCTATTTGCTTTCGCAGCCCCTAATTATATGTTATTATGTTAAGAAGCCTTTGGTAATCCAACGATTATTGGCCGGTTACGATACTAAACCTATAGGGGTGGGGTTTGGGTTGTGACAACCTCCTTATTCATGACTTCCACTTGGCCACTAGTTTGAGGGTGGTATGGAGTGCCAACTTTATGAGTGATAGAATATTTCTTAACTACTGACTCAATGAGCCGATTACAAAAATGCGTACCCTGATCACTTATTATGGCAAGACGACTAAAGATGGTTTTATGCAAAAATTTGATTACTACTTTATGATTGTTTATTTGGGTAGCTATCGCCTCCACCCACTTAGACACATAATCCACTACCAAATATGCTCAAATCCGAATGACGATGGGAAAGGTCCTATAAAATTAATCCCCTAAACATTAAAGATCTCTATCACAAGAATAGGGGACATTGGCATCATGTCACACCGAGATATCGAACCCATTTGCTGACAGCACAAACAAGTTCTACAAAATTGATGGGCATCTTTAAAAATGGTGGGCCAATAAAACCCGTTTTCTAAAACCTTGGTGGCCGTTTTATGCCCACTAAAATGACTGCCACATGCAAAAGAATGACAAAATGTAAGAATGCAATGCACCTCACTCCGGTACACATCGTCAGATCACTTGGTTGGAGCAATATTTAAACAACTCCGGATCTTTCCAAAAATAATACCTAACCAGCGAAAAGGATCGGTCTTTGTCTTGCTTAGACCAATTTTGAGGAATTTTCCCAATGGCCAAGTAATTCACAATATGTGCAAACCACAGGAGGGTCGCTCGTGACACTACAAGAAGTTGTTCGTCCGTAAAACGAATCATGCAAAGTTAAAGGGTCACTATTATACTCAATAAGGACTCGGGAGAGGTGATCCGCCACCACATTCTCAGATCCTTTCTTATTTCGGATCTCTAAGTCAAATTCTTGAAGCAACAATATCCATCTAATTAACCTAGGCTTAGTCTCTTTCTTTGATAGCAAATACCGCAAAGCGGCATGATCAGTGAAGACTATGACCTTGGAGCCTAGGAGATAGGGCAGGAATTTATCTAAGGCAAAGACCACAACTAGCAACACTTTCCCGGTAGTAGTATAATTCAATTATGCATCCGAGAGAGTGCGACTAGCATAGTATATAACATATGATGCCCTATTAACCCTTTGACCCAACACAGGCCCAACAGTATAATCTAAGGCATAACACATGATTTCAAAGGGAAGTGACCAATCCGGTGATTTCATGATTGGGGCGGTGGTAAGGGCCATTCTTAGTGTTTCAAAAGCCTTCAAGCATGCCTCATCAAAGATAAAAGGCGCGTCCTTAGCAAGTAAACTACATAAAGGACGTGATATTTTACTAAAGTCTTTGATGAACCTACGGTGAAAACCTGCATACCCTAGGAAAGACCTAATTTGATGCAGAGAATTGGGTGGAGGAAGGCCTACAATGAGGTTAACCTTAGCTTTGTCAACCTCTATGCCTCGAGGGGACATAATGCGTCCCAACACTATACCCTCACAAACCATAAAATGGCTCTTTTCCCAACTTAAAATCAGGTTTGTCTCCATACAACGAATAAGGACTTTGGTTAAGTTCTAGAGACATTCCTCAAAAGACGGCCCAAACACGGAGAAGTCATCCATGAAAACCTCTAAAAATTTCTTCACCATGTCAGAGAAAATGGCCATCATACACCGTTGAAAAGTCGTCGATGTATTACATAGCCCAAAGGGAATGTGCTTGTAAGCAAAAGTGCCAAAAGGGCAAGTGAACGTGGTCTTTTCTTAGTCAGCGGGGTACACCGGGACTTGATTATACCCCGAGTAGCCATCAAGAAAACAGTACAAATCCTGCCTCGCTAACCTCTAAAGGATTTGATCAATAAATGGCAAAGGAAAATGATCCTTCATAGTCATGGAATTCAATCTCCTATAATCAATACACACTCTCCACCTAGTAGTGGTTCGTGTGGGGACTAACTTTCCTTGCTCATTCTCTACAACAGTGATGCCCGATTTCTTGGGCACCACTTGCGTGAGACTCACCCACTTGCTATCCGAGATAGGGTATATAATACCCGCATCCAATAATTTTAACACCCCATTTTTCATAACCTCTTTCATGTTGGGATTAAGTCTCCGTTGCATTTCACGAGAAGGTTTGACATCCTCCTCTAAATGTATATGATGCATGCACACGGAGGGATCTATCTCTTTCAAATCGGCCACCGACCACCCTATAGCACTCTGATGTGCCAAAAGAACACTCATTATTTGACTTTCCTGCTCTGCAGTTAAGTCAGATGCAATGATGACAGGTAAAGTATCTTGAGGCCTTAAAAATGCATACTTAAGTGTGGTCGGGAGCGGTTTCAACTCAAGTGTAGGTGGTGTGATTAAGGATGGTATGGCAGGCTCTCTAGACAGAGGAGGAAAGGACTCAAACCGAACTTTCCACGTAGGAAAATTCTTTGTAGAAGAAGAATTAAGCAAGGCATTCACCTCCTCAACCAACCCGTCAATATCAAAATTTTCAAGCCCAAAATAAGCTAGACAAGCCTCTAGGGGGTCCTTTACAAGAATGGAGGGTAAAGCCTCCTCCATAATCCCATACACAACATCCACAAATAAGCATTCCTCTCTCTTATGGGGTAATTGGGATGTTTGGAAAACATTGAGTTTCACTTGCATATTCCCAAATGAAACTTCCATAACCCTGGTACAACAGTTTATGCATGCATTGGCCGTAGCCAAGAAAGGTCGACCTAAGATCACCGGGATTTGCTTCTTAGAACTGGCTACTGGTTCCATATCTAAGACCAAAAAATCAACAAGAAAATATAACCTATCAACCTTTACTAGCACATCCTTAATCATGCCACGTGGCACTTTGAGGGACCGGTCAACCAACTGGAGAGTAACAGTAGTGGGCTTCAACTCGCCAAGCCCAAATTCCTCATATATAGAGTACGACAACAAATTGACACTGGCCCCTAAATCTAACAAGGCCCTATCAATGAAATGGTCCCCTATAATGCATGCAATGGTTGGGGCACCTAGGTCTTTAAGCTTAGGGGGTGTGTCATTCAACAAGATGGAGCTTACTTGCTTCATGAGTATGACCTTTTGGGACAGATGTGTCCTAGATTTACGCTTTTGCGTACAAAGGTCCTTTAGAAATTTTGCATAGGAGGGTACTTACTTAATCACCTCCAACAGGGGGAGGTTAGTTTTTACTTGTTTAAAGACCTCCATCATCGCTTCCATGGACCCCCCCTTTTTATTAAAAGGGGACGGTGTATCAAGGCATTGGGGAAAGGGTGCTTTAGGCAGATATGGTGCCTTAGGCTCATGTGAAGTGCTAGGGACCAAGTCATCCCCCTTAGGTGTTTTTCCCTCACCCTTGCTCTCATTGGGTGTACCACCGTGGTCACCTTTTTTAGCCCTAGTTGCATTAGATGCAACTGGCAGAGGCTCTAACTCCCTCCCACTTCTCAAGGCAATCACTGCTTGCACCTGCTCATGGTGCTTTCCATTCCCACCCGAACCCTCTGTTGCATATTGACCCTTAGGGTTGGTCACAGTCTGACTCGGTAATTTTCCCTTCTCTCTCCTATTCATGTTGTTAGCCATTTGACCCAATTGGGCCTCTAGCTTGGCAATGGAGTGAATATGGGAGTGAACTACTAGTGCTAACCCTTTAAGTTCTGAGAGAACTTCTAACACTTGAGTCTTAAAGGCCGATTTGCCTTGAGGAACAGGCGGGGGTTGTGGTTGTCAGTAAGGTTGTAGGGGTCGATAAAGTTATGGTGGCCGGTAGGAAGATTGGTTGGCAAAATTATTAAAATTTTGCCTTGGTGGTGGAGGATTGTAAAAAGTGCCTTGTGAAGGAGGTCTCCGTGAAAAATTTGGGTGATTTCTCCATCTCGAATTATATGTATTAGAATATGGGTCATTACTCGGGTTGGAGAATCCTTGAGCTGCATTCACATGCTCTTGGACTAATTTCAGAAATTGTGATGCCGAAGGGCACTCACTCAAGTCATGAGTAGGGCTCACACAAATAGCACATGCCTCGTGGAATTAAGGCTGATCTTGTTGTGTAGGGGCATGTCCCGCAGCTAATAATTGATCCATTTTATGGGACAATATCTCTACTTATTGGGCTAACTCTAGGTTTTGCCTGACCTCATAAATGCCCCCTCTTTTCGGGGCCCCAACTATTGGTTGCCGGACTTGCTGGGCTGTGGAGGCATGGTGAAGGGAATTATCACTTAAGTTCTCAAATAATTGCCGTGCCTCGGCGTCATTTTTGGACATGAATGTCCCACCACAAGATGAATCTACCATTTGGCGGTGAGGCTTAGTTAAGCCATAGTAAAAGGTCTGAACAAGTTGCCAATCAAGCACTTGGTGGTGAGAACCCTGTTGAAGAAGGCCACGAAGTCTCTCCCATGTCTCGTGAAATTGCTCGCCATCAATTTGAGCAAAATTGGTGATGGCTCACCTAAGTTAGTTGGTCTTACCAATGGAAAAGTACTTCTCTAGAAACTTTTGCTGTAATTGGTCCCAAGTTGTGATAGAATTAACAGGTAAGGAGTTTAGCCAGTGTTTGGCTTTGTCTTTTAATGAGAATGGGAACAATCGCAACATTAAGGCCTTATTTATGAAATTTTGGATCCTCACTGTAGAGCAAATTTCTAGAAATTCATTCAAATGTTTATAAGGATCATCATGAGCTAGTCCATGGAATGATGGGAGCATTTGTATGGTTCTGGACTTAATCTCATAATGAGCAATAGTGGTGTCAGGTAATTGGAGGCATAATAGTGATGTATATGCAGTGGGTGTGAAGTAATCCTTAAGGGTCCGGTTGGGCCCATTTGGGCCATTCGGGTTTTCCATCTTTATTGGTTCAAAGTATGGATGTGAATATTCAAGCCTAGGAACACGAGCAAAGGCTCTAAGTTTC